CCCTTAGAACGGTAAAACTATTAATCAGTACATGTTTCGAATCTATACAGGTTCATCATCAGCAATTCTTAGGAAGTTTATTCCACATAAACGCAGTTCTCCAAATGGAAGAGTTCTTAAAAAATGAATTCCCGATTCCAAAAAATTTGATGAAATTTACATGTTTCCTGAAAACCAATCTTATAAAAAAAAGAGAGGTAATAACAAACCACTTTATGGAATTAAAATGAAAGCAAATGGAAAAAATACTTTCTCTCAGCAAAATTCTCAAATGGGTTTCAAAGATATTTCGGATTTTTCAGTGATAAATTCTTCGGTCAAAACCTTTGGGTTAAATGGTTTAAAAATTGTAACACCTGTTTCATGAACAGCGTAATTCAATGTTTATCAAATACGAGATGGTTATTGGTATATTTGAAAAAGGATGAATTCATCAGATATCAGTATTAGTATTTCTAGTATGAAGAGTGCTTCAATCAAAGCAGAAGTCATCAAGGAGTTGTGGTCAGAAGATTCATTTGATAAAGTAGTAACTACAGCCTCCTTAAAAAATCTTATTCAAATTTTTGCTCCTCGATTCATGGGTAATTCCCATCAAGACGCCCAAGAGTTCCTTCACTATCTTTTAGAAGGTTCACATGAAGACTTTAATACAATGAATGAGAAACCTAAACCGATCTTAACGGAGATTGACGAAAAATTGAACGACAGCAGAAATGCACAAGAGTCATGGCTCACATATTTGAGGATGCATAAGGTAGATAATTTCCTTGGTAAATTGAAATTCACGATAAAATGCATACACTGTGGGCACTCATTAGTAACCTTTGATCCTTTCTAGGAGTTTTCTCTTTCCATGCCATTAAGAACCGACCAATTGAGATTTTGGAAATGCTTGGATTTGTTCACAAGAGGAGAAACTTTGGATGGAAATGAAAAACCGACGTGTTCGAAATGCAAGGAAAGGAGAAAATGCACAAAGTCTCTGTCATTTCACAAGTTTCCCCCTATTTTAGTAATACATTTAAAGAAATTCTCTCCAACGGAAAGTAGAGGCAAATTGAATTATGTCATCGAATTTCCTCTAGAAGGATTGGATATGGACAATTTTGCAGCAGAAAATGTGGCTACTTGTTGTTATAATGTATATGCACTTTTAAATCACAGTGGGACTACTAACAGAGGGCATTATACAGCATACTGCAGACACTCGTATACTGGCGCTTGGCACAAATACAACGATTCACAGGTGTCACCAATTTCACCACAGCTCTATTATCTTGTTATCAAATTTTGGAAAATTATTTTTACGCCTGATGGTTTGTTTTAATTTTCCCCAAATCAACTCGATGGGATTGAAAACACAAAACGTAACTGTGTTGTGAGTGTCATACCAAAAATAGGGGGTAAGTCTCAGTATGGTGTGTCCATACTTTTCAGTAATACTCTCAAGGACATACACTTTTCCAAATATTATCTGTAAAACTTCAAGTAGTTGGTTTTTGATATAAGTAGTCTTCAAAATACAAATTGTTATCCATTAAAAAACTTTGTATTTAATCTTTTTATCTCTTCCTCATTCCCATGATTGAAATCCCGACTTCCGTCCATTCGATAATAGTAACTGAATCATTTGATGTGCCATCGACAAATGCGAGCCGGTTTGGAAATCGAGTTGTGGTGGCCTCCTAGTGAGTGGGTTTGTTAGTCCTGGCGAGTCCTTGGGGATTACACGGTGCGGTACTCGGATGGGCGCACGACTATTCCCAAAAGGACCGTCTCTTCCTACATTTGGGACTCATCTTGGCGGTGATGCCTTCATAAAAACTCATCCTGGTTTCGAGTATGAAGGGTCTCTGTTGATTATGGTGGGAATTTTGCTCTGAAACATTCATAGAATCGAAATTATTACTACTCATTCTAGAGAACAATACGAAATTACAGTAAATGTTTCCCTTTCAGACGTATAAAACTCTTCATCCAAGTTTTGAACTTGCCGGTTGGCTTTTTTGTCAATTTGAGTTCCTCTGAGATACTTTAAATTAACAACTACTTTATAATTTAATTTTTTCTGAAAAAAGGTTGGTTGGTTGGTTGGTTAACAGGATCAATTTTTCTTTTAATTAAATTACTCACCGAAGAGTAGTTTTTTCGTGTTGATAATATTACTATTTCAAAAACCATCAGACATATCAGATACATATTTAAAACACAAAACATTGCAACACAACCGAATTTCCGAGAAAACACCAACACAAAACGACATGAAACAAACGAATGGCTTTTTCTGCGATTCTGAGCAGGTGGTGTCTGTTTTTTAATCAATGGCGGAAAGAAAAATAATGAGAAAAGGGTAAATTATTAAGGTATTTGCAGTATTGAGGCCATCGACATCTTTTCTAGTGCTAACGCTATCGCATTTGAGGATATGTATCATTTCGCTCAAAACTCTTTTGAATATCTAGAATAGTTGAATAATTAAAATAAAAAATGTGTCCATATTCTTTTTCATGTTCAACGAGAGCTGTGGGGTTTTTTATATTCCGTTTCTTAGAGTCTCTCATGTGTTCTGAAACTCGTGTTTTGATCAAACCGTGTCCGGTTTGATCAATGGTCTTAATCCTGCATATTTCAATTTGATAAGTAAAATATCTCAATTTACACAAATAAAGATATATATAAATTCACCCCATTGTTTCTTGAGAAATTGAAACGATAAGAATCGTATAAGTTTTGTGGAAGGTATGTTTATGAAAAAGGTATGTTTATGAAACGTCGGCAAGAAAATAATTGTTTTTTTAAGAAAAAATTGATCCTGTTACCCAACCAACCCTTTTTTCAGGAAAATTATTTTTTGTTGGAGGTTATTTTAATGACATGTGCAAGAAAAAAGCAAATTACACTAGAACGGAAAAAATTATTATATAGCTGAAATTAATGCGGTTAATAAAGTGTCAGCAAGATTGTTACTTTTATGGGTTGATAAATAAAACATCTAAAAACTTCATTCAGTCATGTATTCAAGTAAAACTTTTTTGTGAGATTTTCACTGAACAGTTTACAAAACCGCACCACGAATTTTACGAAACAGTAGCTTCCTCAGGTGTGGCAGCTTTAATTAAAACCAGGCGCGATCTCATGAAAAGGACAAATTCTAGATATTTTGCTTTGTGTTGGAGATGCCGCAATAAGTTATTTGAAAAATTTGCTCAGAAATCGATTTCGACCTTACATACCGAATTTAGAAATTTGTTTTTTTTGTAATATTCACATTCAAGTCCAATTTTCAATTGGACTTGAATGTGTCCCGTATTATGAATCACACGTTAAAATGTAATAATAATAATAATGTTTATTTCAGAAAATGCCACAATTATTTCTATAAAAAATAATTACAACATGTAATAAAATGACGTCACACCCAATTA